GGAACGACAGAAAGAGGAGGAGAGAAGGAGAGAAGAGGAACGACAGAGAGAGGAGGAGAGGAGGAAAGAGGAAAAAAGACAAAGAGAAGAGTTGAATACAAAACTGGAAGAATCTCTTCAACAAGCTAAAGAGCAGTATGAGAAACAACAGCAAAAAAAAGTATCAGAAGAACATGAGTCCAAGCAAAATGTTCTGATTGGACATTTGGATGAGTTTCAGGCTGATGAATCAGGTGGTGGCAGTGATCAGTTTCTTGAAATCCTCTCTCAGAAATGTGAGATGGATATTTCCGATCTCAGCTTGAATGAGCTGACTGCTGATCAGCTAAAGAAGATCCTTTCATCTCTGGACAAACTTCTGTTTGGTGAATGGACCAGTGCACCACCATCCCTCAACACTCTGCAGCATGCTCAGGTGTACATCACAGAGCTGTGTGCCCTCTCTCTGGACATATCAGATCAAGTTTCATTACAAAAGGTTTCTAATCATCTGCAATCCTTTGTTGAGTCCATCAGCCAATCAGCATGTAATGTTTCAGAGAGTTTCCTGTTGACTCAAGCCCTGCATCTCACCTTGATGCACTTTTTCACAGACAGTCATAGCTCTGATAGTGATGCAGTAGTTATAGCCAAACAGTGGGCTGAAGAAGAGCTTTCTATCAAGCAGCTTTTTTCAACTGAATTCCTGAGTGTCCTCACATCATCACTGAATACCTCAGTAGAAAGAAACTCTATGTTCATTTTGAAAATGGAAATGCAGTGTGTGAAACTTCTCCTATCCACACTCAATCACCTGAATAGCAAGGAACCTCACATTGAATCAATTGAGATGATCCTTAGACTTGTACAAAGAAACCAATGGAGCCCAATGGAAGCAGTAAATCTGCTCAAAGCACTTTCATTGAAATGCTCAAAGGATGATTTAATGGCTAAAATCTTAACACTGGTCTATGTTTATGATATATCACCTTCCTGGACAGATGAGTCTGGACGTGCTCTAGTCCATATTCTTAACCTTGATAACTTTGAGAGTTTTCATTGGGATTTCCAAAAGATTCTCAGAAAGAAAGATGAGGTCAGTCTACCTGCAACTCTAGCAGAATGCAAAGTGTGGCAGAAGTTGGATGATTCTGAAACTGATCAAATAAAAAACATCATCACTGGTGTTTTGAAATATTCAGAAAATCCACCAAAGGATGCAACATTTATAAAAGATTTTCTAAAATGTGGAGCCTTAAATGCAGATGACATACAAAACCGTCTCTGTCAGCTCTGCAAAGCAGTTTTTGACACAAAAGGCTGGTGGCCCACGGTGAAGCAGATGCTGCAGTGGTGCGTCCTGATTACAGGGACTGGAATATCACAAGTGGTCGTTGAGGAAAAACACCCATGTGTCACAGCCATGT